CTTGAACATCACTTTTGAAACATCACTTGAAATAAAATCTCTTATATCTATTTCTCTTATATAATACCATATACAAGAGAATTTTGTTATTATTTAAACAAATCACTGATGGTGTGCGTCATCATAGATATTTAGTGGTGTACTGAGCATGAGAAAAGGACCACAAAACCTACTAGTTCCTCATCTGGATTTCTTAACCACTGAACAACTTTCACTCTACATATGCATTTTCCGCAAATGCATGGCCTCACTTTAGAACTCGATGCGACAAAGCAGAAAGAATAATTCATTTTCAATGAGAGCTGGTAATTTCTGGTTACAGGCAGCACAAACGTTTGAGACATAAAGTGGGTGGAGACAAAGTCAAAGATTATATAGGCAAAGACCATTTTTAAGGTAAACCAAGATCATTGGGGTGAACAGGAGTACAGATCCTGTCTGCTTAAGTCTTGCTTCAAATGCTTTTCCCAGACTCCATCACCCGGGGCAACAACAGCAGCCTGCGCAGAAAGATGGGCAGCTATCTGAACAAACAGGTAATCTCAATGAGGGGAAAGTAATTGCTATAGTTTGGTCAAATAGGCAGAATTTCAGGGCTTGAGTCTCTCTTATCTGCTTAAGGGGGGAATAAATCCCCCTTCCACTCGCCAAAACCATGTGACCTGGAAATATTCTGACATGGCTGCTCTCGCTGGCAAAGCTTAACTTTATGCAAATTAAACAGTCATTATGTCAATTAATCAATGAGAACTGAGTGGGGTGGTACATGCTTTAATTCTGGCTGAGTTAAATGGTGTACCCCCTTTTTGGTTCCTAGATATTTATTCCTACTAGACATGAATGAGAGAAAATGGCAGCGATTGCAAAGACCAAACACTGTTTTTTTCAAACTGAAAACGCAAACTGACTTCACAGACAGTGATGCACTATGCAGGGATTAAATTTATAGACAAGGAATTTCTCTCTAGGATTTTTATTTTCAGGAACTCATCTGATTTATGCTTGGAATCAGCTCAGAAACGGGCATAGGCAATAAGCGACCAACAGTTTGGGCGACAATCATTTTTTTTTCCCTTCTCTCCTCCCAAATGTGGTCAGTCAGCCAGGACTGGCTGTGGTAGATCAGCGCAAACCTTGTTTTGCTGTTAAAAAGCCACTATTGCAATTTACTAAAAAAGGAGCAAAGTTTCTTTAGCAATTAAAGGGACAGTCACTGTTCTTTTGTGCTTTTGCCTCAATGTGTATGTACTTAAAGGAGATTCCCTCTCAAAGCACAAAACACTGGGAGGAGATTATTATAACAATGCACTTCTGCAGATTATGCTGATTAGACCACTAGTAAATACTGACTGTGCTGTTTGACAACTGTAAAAACGTCTCTTATTTTTGGCACTATCACAACTGCCACTGTTGCTGCTGACAGACAGAGAAAAAAAAAACATACACAACTTTGATGAAAAAAAGGTTTCTTGAAAACTCATCATGTCATTCTTAATTTGATAAAGGAAATAAAAAATAGGAAGAACTAATTAATGTTCACTAACTAATTCAGTCTTCTAAACTGGTATACTCCACAACAAACTCTTCAAACCATGTCTTTATGGACCTCACTTTCTCTACAGGAGCACAGTCATGGAACTAAGCACTCTGTGGCCCTGCTCTGTGAATTTGCATGGTCTGCATCATCATGGTTGGCACTTCGATTTCACAATAATAGCACTTAGGGTTGACCTGGGCAGAAATTTCACAAACTGACTTGTGCAAATGTGGCATCCAGTGACAATGCCACATTTAAAGTTACTGAGCTCTTCAGTACAACCCATTCTATTGCCAGTATATGTGTATTGAGATGGCATGGCTATGTGCTTCATTTTGTTAGCAGTAAGTGTGGCTGAAACACTTGAACACAATAATAATCACAGAAGAATATATACATAAACCTGTGATGCACACGTGTAAGCACGCAGCAGCTTCTCTGGCGCAGCAAAATGATGCTAAATATTGTTTCACATCTGATTTTTTCAAGTCATTTGTCTCATTCCTGCATCCCCTACACTCGTGAAATATCATATCATCTGACACTGGGTTACACAGACACTTCAAAACAGTCAGCATAAAGCTTATGAATACTTACGAACCAAAACTTTACCAATTATGGATACAGTGGCATTGATACTTGGAAAGTGATGTTCTTCACCCCTAAAGGGGTTGAAGTCTAAGCTCAAGACAAGGCCTTGGCAAGCCAGCACTAAACCGCAATGGCAGACACTATGTATTTCTTTTCTCACTTGCACAGGAAATGTCTGCATCATGAATGGTTATATGTATATTTTTAGATTACAGTAAGGTCAGACTAAGCCAGGCAGAAGCATTTTAATATGTATGTATTTTGTTGCTGAGTAGAAAGTTAACATTATTTGACTATTACTAAACACTTAATTCATATATAAATAAAATCGAGCGTATAAGCAGTATACAAGATATGTAATTTTTTTATTCAGTAAATGTAACATTCACACTGTCTGTTTGATGCAACTGACCGATGGAAGCGCACTGCAGGTGAGGCCAGTGGACACACTAACTTGGTTAATGGGCTGCTTTGCTAAAGGCTAAACCAAGGCAATCATTAGCCAAAGATACCTCCTTCCATACATCTCTGTAACGTCCAGTCTCTCTGTGACAGCCTGAACTAAGACTAACTCTGACTGTTACTGACTACTGACTTAAATGATCTCTATATGACCATAGACAGGAAGAAGCATTGTGCTGCCATTTTTATTGATTTATCTTTATCTATTTATGATGTACCTGAAGCTACAAGGCTAATGGAATGCAATGAAAGCTTATAGCATACACTATTACTACTACTATTAACATACCATTACCTATAAAAATGTCTAAAACTAGATCACACAGCTACAATATTAGCAGCCATCCTAAAGCATGATTTTTGCCTGCACTGATCATTTATACAGATAACAGTATGTCATACAGTGTCAACATAAGCAAGTGGGTTGATTTAGCTCTGCCCTTGCACAAAGCTATAATGACTGGCTTGTATAAGCATATGTTACTTGTTAGCTACATCAGCTCTGACTGAGCAACATTTGGGGCAAGGAAAAATTGTGTAAATCTGATTTTTTAACTGAACTATTCCTCCTTTCAATAATATTCTTTTTATTGCTCTATAAAACTCAACATTTGTTCTTTTTCAGTTGTTTATAGACAATTTTAACAAATTAGTTCAAACTATGGCCTCACAGTAAAAAAAAACTATTAAAAAATGAAGTACTCATACCTTAAATATTTACAAGATTATGTTATGTTATAGTTAAACTCAAGAAATAGTAATAAGCGAAATATATACAAAATCAGCATTTATAGGGTACTTTCTACTGGGAGGTGTCCGTCCAAAACCCTAACACTGAATTTAATTAAACGTTGTTTTTTAAAAAGATGTTTTAGATTTCTTGGAAGATTTCTGCTAATCATGAGTTTGTTTTTTTTAATTAAAGTTTTTTCTTAAATAAATTTTAAATGAAAAAATAAAGAGTTTCAATCCATGGGCAGAGCCTTTTTAAGCTACATCCTGCATTTTAGAGCAGGAAGTAAGACTGCATCACTGTCCCTCATGGCCACAAGATAAATCCCATTGTTTTGAAGTAAATGTGTCCCAAAGTCTGAAAATCAGTGTGTAACCTTAAGAACTGTCACTACTTAAACTACCTAAACCTGTTTTGCCATTAAGTAAACTTTTTTGTGTTTTATAGAAAAATATTATGATTTTATGTATGTACAACTGTTCAAAGCTGTGTTTGCTAGTCATGTACTGGCTTATGAGTTATGTTCAAAATTAGATAAAATTCAAGCAAAACATTTCAGAGGCACTATTATTGTATTGGGAATGACAAAATGGAATGTTCAACTGCTTGTTTTAATAAAATAAACTTAAATTAGGTCTAGGGTCACTCAATGCAAAAGGATTTTAGCCTAAAGTCCAAGACAATTAGAAGTCTGAAATGTGCTTTCAACTCTAAACTAATCCAGGAGAACAACATATATACGTAATGCAGACTCATTTGGGTGTATGCATTACATATATGTATCATTTTACTGGATTGATAAGTTTTCCTGTTTAAATTAATGAAATGCATGAAAACTTACTGATCATTTCATTCCAGAACCATATGTGAGTATATGTGTGTTATGTTTCTGCATCACTTTTATAAGTGATTTCTCCTTTTCAACTGCCTAATATACAATCTTCTGTTTGATTTTCTTGTCCAGGTAAAATCAGACTATGAAAAGCATTATAACATGCGTTTTGACTGGCTGTTTCATAAAACTAAGAAAATGGTGACTGTTCAACTGTTTTGCAGGACAGTGGTATTAGAATCCAGTACATGTCAATGATGAAAGAGCTCCAACACCTGTCCAATAATTAGTCACGCTTAGAGGTGAGAGACCCTGTCAATACACACCACACAACATGCCATTACATCATACATACCAGTCATACCATTAACTCATGTAAATTGTTTACAACTTTTTCCCCAGCAGTCACACAGCAGAGCACACCCATTTAAAAAAATCTTCCATGATAGGACAAAACCTGGGAACTTTTAAAAAATAACTATACCACAAAATGATTAAAAAAATAAACATACCACAAATCATCCTAGGTTCCGTACCTGACACATTTATTTTCCATACGTTTTATTGTTTTCCTTAATGACATACGACCTTTTCATACTTTAAATTTTACATAAAATTTACATTTCATATATATATATTCATATAATTTTCCCCACACCTTACATCAAGGGTATTCTTCTAAATTCTTTGTATATTTCCAACATGTCTACCATTTTGACATGTAGTGGTTTCTAATACTACTCAGAATACTTTATATTATGCAACTCAAGCGCATTTTGATTTTGTGTAGGTTTACTAAAGTTGCATGGAAGTCTCACAGTGTAAAGCCAACCTAAATTACTCACCCAGAATGCTGCCTGTAGGGCACTGACATTTACCATCCTCACCCACGCTGCCTGGACATCGGATACACTCATAGCCATCCTGAGTAACACTCTGCGGAACACAGCCGGATATTGTAACTGTTTGAGTGTATATCATGGGTACTTGTTAGTTTATGTGAACGTTGAACAGACGAACTGATACCGGTTTGGAGACAGGACACTTTTGACAAGTGATTGATGCTCCGTTGTTGGTCAGTACTTTGAAACCTGTTTGGCACTCGCAGTTTAACCCTGTTTCAGAGAAAACATAAGAAAATATAAAGCAATAAACTGGCAATCCAAACATGCAAGCAAAAAGCATATTAACGTGTAAAATGTCACATATATTTGATTGCTTTGAAATAAGCTTAGCTAAGTCTTAGTCTAGTTAAGTTAGAAGAAAACAAACACATCTATTTCTGTCCTGTATCTCTAATTACAAATTGCTAAGTAATGTTACATGTGAAAAAGTTTGAAATCAAATTACACGTTTTGTTAATTTTCTAAGCAAAAATATGTTAACACATTTTCTACAGAAAACAAACATAAATATGATATTTTTCAGCAAATTTTGATATACAATGTTTATTAATTGCAGGTTAGCATATTAGAATCATATTGGAAATAAAAAAACATAGGATATAAGAAGTGCCGAACTTTGCATTTTATGTTTTATGTTTTTCCCCCAATATGTTAAATTCAACAAATAAACAGTAACTGAGCATTAAAATGTGCAGAAGTGTGTTTTCTCTAGAGGATGTGTTAACTTATTTTCACTTAGAATATCAACAAAATGTCATTTGACCAGGGGTGCCCAAACTTCTGTGCACAACTGTATACTCAACAGCCATTTCATTAGAAACTCCTATCGTATCAACGCTGAGCCTGATACAATCATACCAGTACCAACACACTACCATGCCACTACTATGTCAGTGTCACTGCTGTGCTGAGAATGAGTCACCAGCAAAATAATAAGTGGGGGTCCCCTTACACTGATGTATCCAGTCACTGTTGGAAGAATGTTACACACATCTTGTGGGCAGCATTCCTGTGTCAGAAACTGATCAAAGATGAATATAATTGTACAGCTACATAGAGTAGCTCTGGGAGTGAAGGTGTTTCTAATAACGTGTTCAATGGGCCTCATTCACCAACCGTTCCCACTTGCGCAGTTTTCACAAAGATTCTGACATTCACCAATGTTTTCTTATTTAGAATTTGTTCTTAGGTAAGAACAGAATCTGCGCACGATCAAGAGCACAAAGGTGTGAACAATTCTGTGGTTTAAGAACACATCATGAACCTGATGTAGACTTTTTCTTAGGACTTTCCCAATAACAAATTTTAGAAAAAAAACTTAAGAACATATTGGTGAATGAGGCCCAATGAGTGGATGTACAGTGTGGGTGTTTTTTAACATTAGCAGAAAGTGAGTGTATATCTGATTTAGGTCTGATATAAATCTGTTTTACCCCAAATTTGTGGTATATACTACCATTACTGCTACTACTGTCACACTAACATTAACATATAATTAAAAAAGAAATAAATAATAATAATAATAATAATAATAATAATAATAGAAGTCCTAGTGATTTTAGTCAGTGCAATAGGCAAATGTAAAGAAGGAAACTTAAGATACAATATTTGTGGCAGGAATTAAATTGTCAAGGGGTAAACAAAGTCATTCAAAGTGGCTTAATGTGAAATAATTTATTGTAGAGAAGCCTACTGACTCAGATTTCTTTACAGTGGTGCTGATAAAAACAAGGGGTTGTGATGTCTACAACAGTAAAAGGTGCAGCGCAGTGGGCCTCCAGGACCAGGGTTCAGAAACACTGGTCTACAACACACATGTTGCCATTTTATTTACTATCCAAAACCATCAGTTAACCTACACGTGTCTTGAGGTTTTATATGTATGTTGATCATGGTAAAATAGTGATAAACGTGAAAGCCCTTTTCTTTGGGTTCTACTTTTCCCTGCATGCATCTCATCACCATTTACAAAACTATCGTAAAAGCAATGTCTCAGACATCAGGCACTTTATTCCCCATACTAACATCAAATATTTCACAACTGTAATTATAATTAAATTGTCTAATGTTATACGCTACTGCAGCTTGACAAAAACTAGTCCTTGCGAAATTTAAAGGGGAATTTTTTTTAAATTTCTAAATAATTTAGTCCTTGTTGAGACGTAAACAGAGTCATTTAGAGTGCACTTTTGAACTCAAATTCCTGAGTGAACGTTTTTTCGGCAATATATTAATAGGGTTTCATTACTGTTGCATAAAAATGCTAACGTAAATGCTGTGCATGTGTTTTAATGTACAGCAGTAAGTTAAAGTTGTGGCTTATAATGACCAAACCTCTTATCAAAACTGAGTTAGAGAGGCTAGCTAGCTAGCTAGCGCCGCTAACCTGTATACAACGTATACAATAAGGACCGTTAGGCTAACGTTAGCCAACAACGAAATGTGAGGTTGATGCCTGACGCTTAGATTTATTAACAGTTGCAATGGATAGAAGCTTCACTTACCAGAATTTACTTCGTTACAGCTAGCTAGCTACCAAAAAGCAAGACCTGACATTAGTAGACAGCTTGATAGCCAGACAGTGGCAATGCTTTGCTAGCTGGTGTTACCTGATTTTCCGCTGATTTGATCCGCTCCACATTTCGCACAAGACAAACTCGAAATATCGAAATAGCCTCCAGCACCGCAGTCCGACGGCTTCGCGAAAGCGATAGAAAACTGTTCACAGGTAAGGAGGTTTGATTTCAACAATAATACGAAAAAGCAGCCGAAGACGAGCTGTGAATGTAGCGTCCCCGTCGCCATGGTGCAGACAGCAATTCCCCGCCTCTTCCTGTAGTCCACAAACACGCGTTCAAACCCATTTTTGGTTTTTTTTTCTTTTCCCTTCAGTTGCGTCATTGGAGTGTTTATACCTCAACCGTTATTTTACAGACATTATAACTAATTTCCTATCTTCTTATTATTTAATATTCTCAAACTCACAAATGTGTAACCCTAGCTTTTGTCGTCACGCCAGTAAAGAACCTTATATTTAACAGACTTTATTTGTTTTGGGGTTTTATGGCGAACTGAACCGAGTATGTAGTTATTTTTTGTGGCAGTAAGTTAACTAAATCAGGTGAAGATAACTTAAATTTGTGTATGGTTTACAAATGTCCTTTCTCATTTATTTTTTCCACCCCACACTGTGTTACAAAACAGACTGTATATTGCGTAAAAAAAGAAAAGGAAAATATGGCTGCAAAAACAGCACATTTTGAATTCGTTGCACATTAAAAGGACAATATCAAGAAAAAAAATGTAAAATAAAAGTTTGGTGTAGTATGTAACCACGGTTTACTTTTCAAAATATACAATTCACTCCCCAGTCTGTACAGACCATGCATGGAAGCTGAGTTCATAAATAGCCCGCTTTTAATTCAGTATTCTTGTGATGTCACAAAACTCATTTACATATATCCAGCTATTCAGCCTACAACAGCTTAGCTCTGGCCATTCATACGGAAGTTATAAGGAGTACTTCAGCCCAGACTGTTTTTGCTTTTTGGTACATAAACCCACAGATTTATGGCATTTGGCAGATGCCCTTATCCAGAGCAACTTACAGTTTGATCATTTTTACACAGGTAGGTGAAGGTAGTGTTAGAAGTCTTGCCCAAGGACTCTTATTGATATAGTGCACAGTGCTTGCCTAGACAGGGGACATCAGACAAAAAATCCAAAAGAAATGTAATGTGTTTAGTGCTGTGTTATATCTCATTATATTCAGTATTTTGTGTGCTGGTACTGTGACTGTATTTAGAACATTCTGTTCTTCCTATTTTTGCTTATGCCAAACATGGCCGCGTCTGTCTCACCTGTCACTTGGGATGTATAGGTTGGGTCTAATCTTGGCATCAGTCCAGCTATAAAAGTGTGTCAGTCCATTGTTTGTTGTGTCTGCTACCTGCACATGAGAAATAAACTTCAATTCTCCAGACATACGGCTAGCCCCCTGGTTTGTGACGGGAGGTGGATTCTTCATCTTAAACCACAGAATTGTTCACAACTTTCTGATCTTGTGTGTGCACAGACTCTGTTCTTACCTAAGAACAAATCCCAAATAAGAAAACACTGGTGAATGTCAGAATCTTGATGAAAACTGTGTAAGTGGGTTTTACGTAGAAATTTCTTCTTAAGAACAGTTGGTGAATGAGGCCCATTTTATTTACATGTATTTACATGTATAAAACTACGCAGCCTACAGCAGGTTAGTCCTGCAAGTTCATGAGTTCATGCAGAAGTTAAGAGTGTCTTAGCCTGCAGCCAGAACAGAGTCATATATATATATATATATAAATATATATATATATTTATATATATATATATATATATATATATATATATATATATATATAAGCACAGTAACAAAAAAAAACCTGTTTAATAATTAGTGTGACTTTACTCAAGTAGACATGTAGGTAGAATATCTGCACTTTCACTCAAATAAAATGGTACTTTATTTATACTTTGTATATACTATATATTTTGTATTTTATTTTATTTTTACTTTTAATTTTAATTTTATCTTTGAGCAGTCTATAAATTTCATTTTCTGGAAGCCCTGTGCAGAAGTCCTTTGGTTTCTATACCACACTGGTTTGACTGATTTGCAATAGTGGTTGATCTGCTTACAGAGATTGAGGAGTAGGTGTAGTTACAACAGTTTGGAGATAAACAGTCAGAAGACTGTTGGGATGAATGCAGAGAAACTCAGTTATTTCCTTTTGCATACCCCCCCGTCCCCCCAAACACACACCCCCACCCCTCTGCCATAAGTATACAGGGCTCAACTGTCAACACTGTTGAATCCACACACACAGACACATAAACACACACACACATTATCTATGCTGATTATCCTTCTGGGTAACGGGGGCTGCTGGAGCCTATCCCGGCGGAAATTGGGCAGAAGGCTCTGTTGAATCCATTCAAATTCTTTGACACCATCTCAACACCGAGCCCATTGGCAAGAATGGCTCAATAGATAATTAAGGTGCTAATAATATGGGCTCAGTTAACTTTGATCTAGTGCTACATTGCTATTATTGAGTCCATTCTCACCTCCTCTAACAGTCTGCTTCAGCTTATTCATTGCATAGGACAATCACCATGAGCACAAGACGTAAGGCATATCAATCATGCTGAACTCTGAACTATATAGGAATTTTTAAATAGGCTGCTTGTTTCTAGATATCTGCTACAACTACAACTATCACAAAGAGCTATTACAATGATTTGCAGACACATTGTATCCTTAGTATATCTGATAACCTGAGCCAGTAGGCATGCAATACAGCACATCAGAATCAGAATCTTTATTTGCCTAATACAAAGAATTTAGCTACATTTAAGTACAGATACAACCAATTTCTGGAGTACTGAAGTAGAAGAGAATTGAGCAGCAAATATAAATCTAAATATAAATGTAAATATATTTATAAGAGATGTTTATTGTAACAAGTTTTTATATTTTGTAATATGTATTTATTTATTTATTTATGTTTTATACTATATTTTTTCTATTACTATAAAAATATTTTGTATACAATATATGTACACACACACACACACACACATACACACACACACACACACACACACATATATATATATATATATATATATATACATAGAATGAAGTAATAATTATTGTTATTTTGTATATTATGCAATAAAAACAATTTACAATAAAAATATTTCTATTAATTCCTCTTACGCGCCTTTTGCTCGCCTCTTCCTATAGGCAACTACAGGAAGCGTCGCCCCTTTCAAAGCCTTGCCTGTTCCTATTGGCTGCCGAAAACTCATCCTGCCCCGCCCCTTTAAAAGTTGCGGGCAGAGCTCTTCTGTCTCTCTCCGCAGCACGAGGCGTTTGGTTGAGGATCGTGGTGACGGTGTAGAAGTAAACAAATATTTCCAGTAAAGCCGTGATTTAAAGTCAGTCTCGTCTTTCACGAAAACGTGAAAGGTAAGTTCATTGTGGTGGACATGGGAGTAAAACTTTTTTTCCTCCTTCATTTCTGTGAGAGAGAAGCCTGCTACTTCAACTCCGGCCAGCTGCAGAACAAAGCAGAGAGAGCGAGAGAGAGAGACTTTTGGGGGTTGCGTTCGGTTTTCTCCGACTGTGATGCAGAAAAACAGGGCTTTACGTCCTCGTACGCTACATAAAACTGTAACGGGGCGTTTTTTTGTATTTAAGTTTTCTCAGTTTTATTTTTTGTGTCGTTTTTTTCTCAGCAGGTATCACGTGTTCAGCGAGGCAGTTCCCGCCATGGTGACAGTGCGGCGTCTGTTGGGCCTGAACGCTGAAGCAGGCTCTGAGGACATTCGCGCATTCTTTCATGGCCTACACATTCCTGAAGGCGGTGTGCATATCATTGGAGGCAGGAGAGGGGAAGCCTTTATCATATTTACTACAGAGAAAGATGGCCAGCTGGCTATGGAACGTAATGGAGAACTACTTAAAGGATCATCGATCACCCTTCATGTTAGCAGCTTAGCAGAGTTTAAGCGTAAAATCGAGTCACGATTAAGGAAAAGGAAACGCTCGGTTGTGGACAAGAAGGCTGCACAGATGGAAAGAAAGAAGCCAGATGTGGAAAAGGTTGTGGCAGACCCGCAGGCAGCGGCATTGCCAGAATTGGGGACTGCTCTATTACTGGGAATAATGGCTGCCTTTCAAGGAATTCAGTCAAACAGCCAAGAAAGCCAAAGCCAGTCGCTTCCAGCTAGCACCCATCAGCTACCAGCTTCGCCCCGGCCACATCAGTCTGGAAACCAAATGATACAAGGAATGGACCAAACACGCCATATTAACAAAGGAAAGCAAAGCATCGCACAGCCGATGATCGTACATATTGGAGAGCCTGAGAGCAGTAGAAGAGAGATCAAGTCTCATGAGCCGGGTTATCTTCGTCTTTATGGACTTCCTAACCATGTGACCAAAAATGAGGTGCACCGGATCCTTGAGGGCCTGTCTGTGCTAGAGGTCATACCCAGTGTTTTTCTAGGCCGGGACTATTGCTGCCTAGTGAAGGTGGCTAGTTTGGAAGAGGCTGAGGAGGGTCTGAAGTACAGCCACAGGACCCTGGAGGACTCCTGTGTGGAGATCAGGATGGCGCATGAGAGGATGTGGATATATGCAACGAAGCTGTACGAATATGGCCAGTGTTCCATGTCCTCGGAACCTGACAGAATCTCTCCTGATGGACATTTGTTTCAGACCTCCCCGGTCAAAAGAGTGCCAGAAGACCGGTCACTATCAAGATCTCCAAAGCGATACCGCTTTGACTCTCCTCCCCTGACTACAGAGTACTGCGTAATGGTAAAGAACCTTTCTTCCAGGACTACCAAAACTGAGATAAAGGAACTGTTTTCTTGTTTTCACCTTCCAAACAACAAAATCATCCATCTGCTAAACAAGTGGGGAGAACGAACATCCACTGCTTTCATCATATTTACACATCCAGAAGATTATGCTTCAGCTATGAACATGGATGGTAGCCCTAATGGCTCAAAAACACTTGTTGTGTCATCAATCACTAGGGATAAAATGAAAGAGTTAATGTACAAGGAAAGACTTAAAGAAACAAAGAGATCACATCTTCCAGAAAAAGACTGGACTGCTCCGTCTTGTATTTATGCACGAAACTTCCCAGCTGACGTGAGGAAAATTGAAGTAAAGGACTTTTTCTGTTTGTTCCACATCAGTGAAGATGACATTATGCTGCTTAAGGATGGCAATGGGAATGGCACTGGGGAGGCACTTGTTGAATTTAGTTGTGAACAGACCGCCAAAGAAGCTCACAGTCTACATGGGGACATCTTCTTGGGACAAAAAATATTGCTTACCTGCATTTCCCCACAGCAGATGAGAAGTATCCTGCAGGAAACACATTGAACCAAGAGCCTTCAGAACATTTCACATTACATTGTCTTTGCAGGAGGGCAGCCAAAATTTTGCCTGGCTTAATAGTGATCTGTACATATGACTTACAGATGCATACAATGCACCCTACTTGGATTACATTGCATCTGTTCAAATGTAAATATACAAAAGAAATGTCATCTTACATGGGAAATACAGAATCCATCCCAGACTTGTTGGGCAGGTGGGAAAAAAATTGCAGTGATTGCCAGTGTAATAGCTTCAGACCATATTACTCTACAACTTCCCTCTTTGTTTATTACGTAGTGTTAATAGTTGTACATTTGTTTAATAAACTTTCCTGATATTAAGAACCTGCTGTTCAATCTTGACCAGTAACACAATGAGCCTGTTGACAAATAGCTGTTTCCCTAAACAAATTTTTCAACAGGTGTAATAGCATGTCAATAAGTATTGATGCTTTTTTGAAGATGAAAAGCTAATAACCCACTAATGATTTACAGAAAGGCTGATTTTGGATGTTTGTTACTAAGCAAACTACCAAACTCTCAGGAATAAGAATGAAAACTTCGATATATGATGGACCACTTGAAATGATCCCAAATGACATTCAATTAATAATGGATAAGTTAAAATCTCCAGAAGGATAAACTGTCACAAAAGCAAATCATTAAGTAATAGTTACTCCTATCTAAGCCTGCTCTGCAGCTCAGAGCTCATCCTGTCTCATCAACATCCTGTTGAGTCACATACATTCATGCAAAAGTAACTACAGAACTGACTAATTTGCATATCAAGGCTGAGGCAACTGGTTGAGGTAAAGCAGGATGTGAGGTGATTTCTACATGTACAACTGTTCAGTAAATCTCAACTATACAGAATGCTCTGACTCTATGCCAAAATGCTGCATTCAGTATGAGCCATGACACCACACAGGAAAGATTATTTTAAATTTTTATTGAGATCACTGTAGAAAACATCTTCAAAACACCTTACAAATATACATTATAACCTTTAAGTAATTTTATAACCAATCAATAAAGTCAGTAAATTCCTGCATCATCCCGATAAATGGTGTTTGAATAGTTCCAGGAGAAGTGAGGACAGTAAACATAAAAGCTTAATTCAGAGGCTGGTAGGTAATTTGGTCCTAAAAAAAGAAATTAAAATTTGTACTGAAAAGTACATGAACAGGTTTGGTGAATGTGGAATGGGAACACATGCAGAGAGCCACAAACAGGCATGACCACTTGAGCTGCTCAGTTGTAGAATCTTGAAGGGCCTATAAGAAGAAGACAAGAGCATGTGATTATGTACTCTTATGCCAGCTGTGTAAATCAAAACACACTGTTGCATGTCCCCATGTCAAGAATGTTCCATTTGTTGCAAGGAGTTAAAGTAATGAACCAGTGCAGTCATTATAGATTTGCTTGGATGTTCTTATAAAGTTCCTCTGTTTAAGTCTTCAATTCCTTTTTAGGGTCCTTGAGTATATTTACTACTTTTGTGCTCAGTCATGGTTGACAACCTTCACAAACACAAGCTGAACATGACGGAGTAGCTGAGTGTATGAGCAGTTATGCAAGTAATGTTTGTGCAGCTGTTTTACCCGTCATGCTCCCAGAGAATCTGTTGTTGCCATTTGGCGGCAGGCGTGAAGAGTAGTTTATGTTTCCTAGAGAACTTGATGGGGCAGAACTGGGCACCTAGAAAACATTTTACAAGCAAAGAGAGGAATTCAAAGGATTTTAAAGAGCAATTAAAAGGAATTCAGTGTAGGCAAACTTGATTGGTGTTACACCAATCAATAGAGCAATACCATTACTCATGATGCATGATTACTGGTAATTGTTCCAAGCAGAAGTGGGTCAATACTTGCATCTGATTTTATGGCCAACACAGCAGATTACAAAGCCTCGTTGTACAGATACACAGCAAACTTTTTGAAACTCTTTTTAAAAGAAAAATTAACTGTTTACATACAGCTGTTCAAAGTCAAAATTCACATCATTGCATCTCTGCTAAAAATACCAAACTCTCAGGAATAAGAATGAAAACTTTTATGTATGATAGACCACTTGAAATGATCCCAAATGACATTCAATTAATAAATGGATAAAGTTAAAATCTCTGGGAGAAGGATAAACGGTCACAAAAGCAAATCATTAAGTAATAGTTACTCTACCACTCCTTTAGTGACCACTGTCTGTTAGAGAACTTGTCAAATAAGTTTTACTTATTCTAATAATGCATAATTGTGCATGTTTTGCTACAGTAGTTTACATCTGATATTTTGTTTATTTTTTGTCTCACTTAAAGGGAAAACTTCACTATTTTACTGAACTGTGCTCATGTCACTGTTGAGGTTATTACCGAAGAGATGCTCCGGAGGCGGTATTCCATTAAGACATCTGTGAGCTTCTGTGTGACCTTCAGCACAATTTGAGCATCATCTTCATTTTCAATACGGAAAGTGTCCTAAAAATACATATGCAAAACTGAATAAATCCCAAAGTTTAATGCTGTCAAACTGTGTATCAGGCTGGAAAAAACAGTACTGAGCATTACCAAGTGCCTCTTGAAAATGTAACATATTACCAGTACTACCGTAGCTCCTTAGCATCAGCTACTGGACAAAATTGCAGTTTGGCAGCTTCATCAGACACTGTAACTTTTAAATTGTCCATAACATAAAACATAAAAAAATTGTACCAGATATCTGAGAAGTGTTGCAAGCGTGTTGCTGGGCTCTGGTGATTTGGGTCCTCCCATCATTCTGTCACCGCCGCTGTTCATAGGGAGGTCACTGAGAAAAGGTCTGCCCATGCCCTCATTGCGTGGGCCCATTCCAAAGCCATCTGAGCCCATGCGCATTGGTCCACTGTTGGGGAAACGCTGCATACTCTCTGGGCTGCCCATAAGCCTGTCAGGACCTGGCATGGAATTACCATATCGACCAGGGCTGGGAAGTCTACCCATATCAGTTGGCCCCCTTCTTATGGGACCATCAGTCAGACCACCTTGCATGCTTGGGGGGAAATCAGACATCAGTCCACCCCGAGGTGGGAAATCACCAGGGAATGTGGGGTCAGAAAAACCACCACCAAACGGGCCACCTAAGATACAGAAAAAACATTTTTTTATCAAACTTCTCACAGTAAGAAGCTTGATCTGGGGTCAGCTTACAGCTTTTATAAAACACTGAACAGAAGTACATGAACTGTTAATACATGATTAGTATGTTTACTTTGAAAAGCTTGATATGAATGTATAAAAGCAGATTCTCGTTTCTAGCAGTGCCTTAGCTTGAAGATACCTTAAGATTCAAATTATACGGCTTAAGCTGTACAAATCTGATCATTCACACAATCATGCAATCAGAATGGTATATGGTCTAGGCCCACATATGAATGTGGTTTAGATTTAAAAACGCGTCACAAAAAATTAACCGCAAAAATAAAAAAAAACCTGCTTCGCGCTACTTCAGACTGGTACACCACTTACATGTGACAGATCTCATCACATATTTTTCAACCAGAAAATCTAATCTTTTTAAATCAGATCTGAACCACTTTTATACGTAGTCTTACATTGGATAATAGCTGATGTGTGACTATAAAGCTTAATGAGAACAGTTTAATCTGAATATGAACAGTCCAAAGCAAAACAACTGAAACTGAATAATAAGGCTTATAAAGTGGGCATAGCTTCATACTCTGGCATATTTGCACTAATATAAGGATATGTTTGTCCCCCAAGAAAACAAAGCACTTTTGTGAGTTGCTCTGGATAAATGTGCATGCCAAATGCTATAATTCTATATCAAAGACACTAAATGTGTAAAACTACATAATTCCATGATGACTTTGTTAGGTTTCCAAAATCATAGGAACATGCACAAACTAACCTGGATGAAGACCTCTTGGAGCAGGCCCAAGGAGACCTGCAGCACCTGGTCCCCCCGCACTAGGATGCGCGGACTCTGAAAAACACACAAACAGCATAAAGTGAACTGAGAACTGTAGCATTCAGCGGCAGCTCAGTCCTGAACCCAGTAAATTAATCTATAAAAGATGAAAAAGTACAAATAATTTGAATCACTGCATCGTTGCAAAGTTATGTATGCTAATTAAGTTGTGTAGTATAAACGGCCATCAAGTGCAGGTGAGGGAGGTAGGACTCACTCATGTTCTGAAATGCTGGAAGTTCACCAGGCTCCTTGATGACAACCTAGAGAGAACACATAATTGTGTGTAATTGAATGAGCACATGGAGCGATATCATCTGAAATCATTACGTGATAGGTTTCCTACAAGCTGGCCACAGAATGCATGTGTCTCTGGAAATGCTGCCAATGGAGTTTGAAATTTTATGGCCGATTTAGATTTTTTTTTAGACTTTTTTTTATAAACCAGAAACTCGGGCTTAGCATGTGAGCATTTTAAATTAGAGTATAATAATAAATAAACCAATCAGTTTCCTATTTAAAATAACCTGAACCAAATAAAACGCTACATCAAAGGTACAAGGCAATTGGCTATTAAGCACAAGGGGTCTTGCTATGACATTTTTGCTAGCATTTGCCATTTAAATACAGTAGTGAGCCAGGTTATTTTTGTCATAATACTGAAATACATCAAAACAAATCTGCCAATTTTGTTTTCACAAGAATGTGGCGATTTTGTTCTGACTATTTTTGTGCATCCCTACTATTAACCACTAATCATATCTGGTAACCTTATGTTTTTCTACACAAAACATATGTTGCCTTTCCTATCCATGTTCTACTGAGCATGTGTATATGTAGGTAAGGAATGCCTACTGGGGGTATAGAAGTACTGCCTTTTATATTCTATACATCTTACCCTGATTTGACCTCTGCCTTCTGCTTTTTCCACCTCAGCAGCAGATGCTTTAATGGCTTTTCTGATGGCTGGGTCTTTAGTTGCAGCCTCTTCATCATGAGGCACTTTATCTGGGTGACTACGTTTCTATTGTGGGGCAGAAAAAAAACGTAACAGTCAATCATACAACATACAAGCAGGTTGCCCAAGTCTATTTGTATGATTCAAAGCAAATTTAAATAAATATTTTATATCACATTTTGTTGTTTAAATACAATTTTGAAAGTAAACTAAGAATACAGAGTTACATATTGTAAAAACATATCATTGCAGTGGCCAAAATGAAACATTCACACCAACAGGACCAAGTTTGGGCAGCCTTGACTTAAAAGTTTGCGATAGCAGTTTTATTGTGGCACTACTGGAGTGTTGTGTCTCTTCTAACTTATAGTATTTTGTTAGAATTGCTATGTATAGTGTAAAGGTATGATGCTTGATCATATGTTTCTCCAACAACCACCAGCATGAATTACTACCAAGAACTACCTTGTGGGATTTAATGCAGAGGAAAAGAACAGTTGACATATAAATTGCAATTAAATGAAACACATAGATCTTACCATGTATCTGAAGCAATGCTTCCATCCGGTAATATGAGCTGCCATCTCATTCTGCAGCCGCTGGACCTTGCACAATTTACACTGATAATGAGGAGGCACTGATTTGGTGGGGCTGCGATACTCCCATACATACTGCAAGCCTGTGCACAAAGACATCCATCAATCAGTACTCACATTTTTCTATAATAAGTGCATTTTAAGATGGAGCTACATACCAATAATTGGGTCTGTGACAGTTTTCAGACGTTTGCTCAGGGCGGGAATAGTCTGAATGGATCCATTCTTGGTGAACACTGACATAAGAGAGAAAAATTAGAAGGAAATGTCTAAATTTCATACAGTGGGGTACTACAGAACCCTCAGATAAGGGAAAACATTGATCTTTTCAATCCACTGAAACTGGGCTAAACGCTCTCTGTGCCCTCATGCCCAGTAGAGCAAATAAGCATATTGTTAATCCCAACAGGCTTAAAACAACAAGATAGAAAAGCTGTGGTCAAACAAATGAGCCACGTCTTGAATTTGAGCACTGAACAACATGTAAAAACTTAACAGTCTCTGTTCAAAATAATCTGCCAGAACACAGCTGCCAATGAGTCCTGGTGGATTTCATTGGTCAAAGCAACACTCACTGTGGCACATTTGAGAGGATCCTATTCTTCTTGGCCATGCTGAAAGTCAAAATGACCATAACAGTCATGTTCTTTTCCACATGCAAGACACTCCGTTTTTTGCCAGGTTGTGTTAAGGCATAGACAGAGTGGTCCACAGGGCAACTGAGCTCTAGGCATGTAAGGCACTTCCTTTCCTTCAAGCTAAGCTTAGCTTTCATAAATGTTGTGATTTGTTTGGACAGTGGTTTGGCCACCAAACCCAGTCACATCTATCACCTAAACTCTATAGATTAATGCCAGCCATATATGAAGGCAGACTTGCATGGAAATGAGGCCTGCTTGATCCACACTATGCCCCTACATTATGTTCTTCCATAGAAAGCTTTTCTTAGTTTTAGCATTCTTGTTGTAATGGACCAAACTTAACAGGCTTAGCAAGAAAGCTCAAAGCCAAGAGGGCATTTAATCCAAAGCCAAGTCCACCTGGTTTACAACCATGACCTACATTCAGCCAACTGTCAACAACTGACTGTTGTTGAGAATGACCAAGGTCAGGTACCTCACTACAATGTGCTGCAAAACTGAATATCGTTCTCCAGCTGACTTGGGCTGAAAACAATAAGCAACAGCCCAATTATTCCAAGAAAAAGTCTACAATAGTTGATACAGGACATTATGTTGAAGTTTCTAATGTTGTTCAGAGTAGATTCCAATACCAATTGTATGAAGATAAATGAAGTACACAAAATAATTTATCTCCAAGCTTCAAAAAAAAGGTGTTAAATCCTATCACAGCTATAGGAGCTATGCTTGCATGCTATATTGTAAAGCTCCAAAGCTGTGAAAGACCCCAGTGGTGGCACATGGTGATGACATCACCAATGCCAGAAAGTGCTGAAGGTCAAAGAACAGAACTGGTTGCTGAGGGCAGGACTTACCTATGTCACCACTGTGGAATTGCTGCTTTTTCTGTCATAGATGACAAGTAAAACCATCGGAAAAAGAGAGATAAAGAGGAGTTAGAGATAGAATAGTATGTGAGGTGGGGAACAATACCCCACACTCTATGATCCATCCAACTCTTCGTTGCTCTCCATCAGCAGAGGAGCAGACAATCCTTGGATAGGAATGCATGTTTGAGCCACCCAAGGGCCTCTTCAAATCAGACACTCTCCCAGGTTGCCACAGATGTGCACTGGAAGAAAAGTAACGCATCTCTCCCCCACTGCTCAGTACAGCTGGGGGATAGTTTAGGCAGAGACATAAAAATGGCAAGAGGCAGTCAAAGACTATTTACTGAAGCTCAAAGCAGGCATGAAACTGTGCCATATGTGCAGCAGCTTTACAGTTTTGTAGTGCTAATGCACTGGTGTTTACAGCAAATGAAAAAAGTCACAAAAGTCACTAGGAAAGTTGGCAAGAGGACAACTCAGGGCACAGGCAAACCAATTGTCATAGATTTGTGTTAATGAGGAGTAATCCTATGAGACATTCGTTTTAAATTTTCTGACAAACTATATGGCCAAAAGTAGATGGATAATTCTAATTAGCTTGTTTGGCTACTTCAGACTCATCCATTGCTATTAAGTCAATGAAATCAAGCATACAGCTTTCCAATCTCCAATTTCAAACACTGTCATACTGAAGCTCAGTGGCTTTCAGGCATCATCTCAAGAACCATAAAGAGCACCCATTCTTTGTTACAGCAATCTCTAATAACTACCTCTGGAACAAACACCAACACAAGAACTTTTTAGGTGCTTCATAGATTGGGTTTCCAAAGCAACCGCAGTGGTCAAGCAGCCGCACATAAGCCTAATCACTGTGTACAATAAATGGCAAGCCTTGGCTGGAGTGGTGTAAAGCACACCACCCCTGGACTCTGGAGCACTAGAAGTGCATTCCCTGGAGTGATGAATCAGGATTCACCATCTGGTAGTTTTGAAAGATGCATTTAGGCTTGTCACATGCCAGGAGAATGCTACTATAGTGCCCACACAGTGTTAACTGTAAAGTTTGGTGGAAGAGGAATTATGGGACGACTATGAACCATTTTTTTCACCCAACATCAGTGCCCAACCTCATTATTGTTCATGTGGCTGAATGGAAGTGAATCCCTGCAGCAAAATCTACTGGAAAGCCTTTCCAGAAGAGTGAAGACTGTTACAGCAACAAAGAGAGGGCACCTCCATATCAACATCCATGGTTTTGGTAAGAGATGTTAAAAGAGCACATAAGAATATGATGTTCGAGTGTTCACATACTTTTGGCCATGTAGTGTAGCTCCTATACCATTTCTTTCAGATAATAGTTATCTTTATGTATATTTCTTCTTGAACTCTTTAAAACATCATTAAGTTGATATAAGCTTTAAGAAGAAACACACTGCTCCATTTCAAAATTGGAGGAAAGCAATCATATCGCACTGTTCAGCGTGTGCAAACAGTTAACAGCAAAAGAGAAGAAACCATATTGCAGGATCATACTTACCATACATAACCGAAAATAACCTAGTACCAAACAACATACTACGGGGTAAAATCGTCAGGTTATTGACTGAACTGATGAGTCACTTGGCCAACTCACTCAACATTCGGGATGAGATCCATAGGACAATAATTTACCCACAAGGGGTGGAACTGCTGTTACAGCATAAAGGTATATTGTGGCCAGCTTTTCCGAAGCCTGTCTGGACTGTGTGAGGTATTAAAGGGTCAACGTACTGTCACGAGCTAATGTGCTACAGTAACGACAGGTTAGCTAGGTTAGCTCCTACTTCAAGGACAAAAGGCTTTAGCTAGCATTAGCTCACCTTCATGCCAGGGTTTTTCACTTTCTTCTGAGGATTCTGTGGGCCTTCCATTTTGTCAGAAACCCTAGAGTGGAAAAAACACGTTCTTAACCTTATGTTTAGCGATTAAATTTCGATTGAAAAAAAATCAGTTAGCGATCAGCTATTCAATTCTGTCAGGTTTTGAATGCACATACGGTCTAAGATAGGTTAGCAAATACAGCTAGCTAACGCTTGCAAACAGCAACAAGCATAGTAATGTGAATGTAGCTAATGACCTAGTGGAAGACATTATGTAGCAAAACCTTTACCAATTTATTTACGTAAATTCTTGTAGATAAAACGTAGCTAGAATTTAGAGATACAACCATTTGAGTTCTATTGTTTCTTAACCAACAGCGAACATTACTAAGCTAACCTAGCTAAGCTACCGTCAACGTAACAATTTAGCTTAAATTGTATTAGCATTTACCTCATATAACATAAACAGTTACCGATTTACACTACAGCTGTATATTTTTCGGTGAGCAGTGTAAGACATGGCTGACAACGTGCTACACTTTACCTCAATTTTTGTGCCAAAACAATCAGATGATATTCCAAACGGACAAAACACAACGTTCACAGATTCGCCGTTCTGTGCAAAATCACGGAGGCAGGCGGAATACTGACATCTGGCACTTTCAAAATTAAAGTCTCATGGCTGCTGTCTGATTAGAGAATTAATATATGTATGTTCTTTTAATTCCACATAAGATTTTCTTTATTTGTATATATTAATTTGTTGTTGGTCAGCTTCTGATGTGGAGAGGTATGACAGTGGACAAACATCAAAACAGAAATGGTCATCCAAATCAATACTCTTATTTTGAATTTGCATCAAAGCAAGACAAAGATCTCCGCTATTATTTTATATAACATTTCCCCCCAACTATATCGATCATTCTGTGCTCAATATTCACTAATTATTTTAGTAATGATATATGTGCCCGGTCAGCATTTAAAACATTATAGTAAATATTACACTCAGGCACATGTGCGACTGGTCCAGCATTCGTGAAGGACCCCTAATGAACAATCGGTCGCAGACAACACATTTAGATGAAATTCATTTGAAATTAAACTGGGCCTTGCTTGGTTTTGCTCCTAATACCAAAACACGTGAGTAGGTGAATATTTAATGTTTAATGGTGGAGATAAGATGCATTGGTTTGCGTAGCTTCGAGAGAGGAAATATCTAACTAGCTAACTTACGAATAAACTTCGTCTATATAGCTAGTGTATGTAACGTTAGATTTAGCATGTAGCTACACACCTGCCTCACCGGGGATGGATCAGAGATTTTCCCCTTCATTTTTGATCTATTCCATTTTGTATGGAAAGGAATTCGTGCCAAATTAAAAAGCAGTCACTAACTTTCAGGGGAAAAACTTGAAATGCAATACGCACATGACTTGACTTTTCCATGGTGACATGCAGAATACGTGCCAAAATGAAAAACAAACCCTCTATTACATCGTTGTCTCGTTGCTTGACCTCTTTACTAAAAACAGTGCATGAAAATTTGCATTTTAAAAACGAAATGCTTCATTCATGTTAGAATTGAATACAGTTCGTTGATCTCTGTTCTGATTAGTTGCTCTGTATTGTGCCTAATTAAAAAAGCAGTCCAGACTGAAACAGTCCTTATAACTTGATAGTGAATGGGCGGGGCTAAACTGCTGTAGGTTGAAAAAACGGATATATGTAAGCACACTGATTTTTGTGACATAACAAAAACCTGATTTCAAACTGGCTGTTTGAGCTTAGTTTCCATGTGTGGTCTGTGCAGATATGTAAGACCTTACCAGTGGTTAAATACTACATCAAACTGAAATTTCAAAATTTGATCATTTCAAAAAGTTAGAAAAACTGTTTTTTCTCTCTTGTGATATAGGCTAGTACTAAAAAAATGACCAAGAAGAGGAAAAGACAAGATGATTTTCACAAAGTCAAACTAAAAATTGGCAAGAAGAAGCCCAAGGCTGAGAATGCAACTAACGTCAACTTCAAATCGAAGAGCATCCATTTACCAGAGCAGCTGAAGCGCGATGACAGTGGACCCACCACACACCGACAGCTCAGCATTAAGGTATAGTTACACTTGTTTTCTTTTCATTTAAGCCTGTTGTGTTTTTCTGTCACTGTCTGCCTCTCTCACTCACTCTGTTTTTGCGTCTCTTGTAAAATTTTGATGCTAGTTTGCCTTTACTTAAAAGTCAGGGAGAGTGAAAAGATCTAGCCATTCACTTGTAACAGCACAAACCAGCCAAATGGGAGGATGAGCTGGCTAGCTATTTCAGTGTTGAAATTATGTAGAGTGGTGCAATGACTATTCGACTTAGTTGACCAAAAATCAGTGACCAAATTAGTTGGCATTTTAATAGTCTTTAATAATTTAATAGTCGATTAGTTGTCATTACACGTCTTTCTTGTGCTCACTAGGAATGCTTTGACATTACTGCTCACTGGAGAGTTAAAAACAAAATCCTGGGTTTTCAGTTGTGCTATTTGTTAAGCTGACCTTAGCTGGCACGGGAGCACATCCTCCATGATGGAGCATCTGAGAAAGAAAGACGAAGATTTATCTCGGTAAGATACGCCGCGTCCCAAACCGCATACTAGCACACTAAATAATGTGTAAAAATAGCGCATATACCATTAGAAGTGCACTCATTAGTGTAGTGTATGAAGTACAGAAGTGTGCAGTTTGGGACGCGGCAATAGTTGTGCTAGTGAGCTGGCTAGTTAGCTAATGTTAATGCCAAAAGCCGTCCTACTTCATGTTACGAGTTGAGCTGTAACATTTTCTTTTTTGAATTGCACGTTCTCTGGAATCGTTAATGGAGTTGGAACAGAAAAGCAAGTAACTATTATTTACAATGACCCTGTTTACTATCCAGATAACGTTTACACTTTTAAACACAGCATCGTTTTCTTAACCGTCGAGGTCACCGGTGTGGTCAAATTCAGCAAACGTTTGGCTCCGCTCGCAAACAGTTTAAGGAGGTAAAGTTAGTTTTCAGCGGACATTAGGGCTGCGACAAACAACTGATTTGATAGGCGAATAATCTATCGTTTACTGAAACGAATAATCGATTATTCTGATTATGAATCACTACATTACCAAATAACTTTCATGTAGCTATTAGCTTTTAAGTTTAGCTTGAGGTTGTTTTATGCATTTACTAACTAACAATGAAGACAATAAAGATGAATAACATTAAAAAATTCAAGTCAAGTCACATTTATTTGTATATCGCTTTTTACAACTGATGTTTGATGTTTGATGTTCACAGAAATCTATTAAAGGCAAAGTTTTAACATGAAATGTAAATCCTCCAAGTGAGCAAGCCAGGGGCGACAGTGGCAAGGGAAAACTCCCTCAGAGCTGAGGAAAAAACCTTGGGAGGAACCAAGGCTCACATGGGGGGACCCATCCTCCTCTGGTCAAACTACCTACAAAATTATTATACTACAAATATTAATAGTAGTAGTAGTAATAATAGTAGTAATAGTAGTAGTAGTAGTAGTAGTAGTAGTAGTAGTAGACTAGTTAGGAGTCCATGAAAACTTCAGTGTAGAGTGGGAGTGGGCAGCTAGTCCAAGTCAAGTGGTGGTAGCTGGGCAAGTGGCAGCAACTGGGGCGTAGGCAACTGGTCTGAAGCGGGTAGCAGGAGAGCTCCGCAGACAATCATCCATCAGTGTCCGTCCGGCAGGTGGGCAGTCGTTTACTCGGAAAAAGGTAGGGAAATGGAATTAGTTTTGTTCTGTTCGAGTGTATGTAAAACAGAGAATGTGAACATTTTCAGAGTGTGGCTAATGACTCCGGCAAATCTGACTATAACAGCTTAACTAAAAGGAGAGAACCAAAAGGACACACAGACACGGGAGCACCCTGAAACAATTTGGCATCCCTCCGCTCCACCGTCCACAAACCTGAGTGATCGCGTGCGAGCGGCGGGACAACAGCACCAGCGTCTCAGTTTACTATAATTCCCTGTGTCCATGGACCCCTGGATCTGCTGCCTTTATCTAAGGGGGAACATTAACTACCAAAAGCTAAACTAAACAAGTGAGTTTTCAGCCTAGATTTGAAGATTGCGACTGAGTCTGAGTCCCGAACATTTTCTGGAAGATCATTCCAGAGTTTGGGGGCTTTATAAGAAAAGGCTCTTCCCCCAGCTGAAACCTTCTGAGTTTTGGGAACTATTAAAAAGCCAGCACTTTGTGATCTGAGTAATCGTGGTGGCTCATAATGGGAAATAAGGTCTTGCAGGTACTCAGGAGCGAGCCCATGTAGGGCTTTATACGTCAATAAAAGAACTTTGTAATCAATACGGAATTTAACAGGCAGCCAATGGAGTGATGATAGAACTGGACTGATATGATCAAATTTTCTAGTTTTAGTGAGGACCCTGGCTGCAGCATTTTGAACTAGTTGAAGTTTACTTAAATTCTTGCTGCTGCATCCTGACAGTAGTGCATTACAATAGTCTAGCCTTGAAGTAATAAAGGCATGTACTAATGTTTCTGCATCGTGCAGCGATAAGGCATTTCTTATTTTGGCGATGTTGCGAAGATGTAAAAAAGCTGTCCTAGTGATACTGCCTATGTGTTGATCAAATGATAAATCTGGATCAATTATGATGCCAAGATTTTTTGCTGCTGAACCAGGTATAACTGGAAAGTCAGCAAGATTTAAAATTAAATCTGATAATTTATTTCTTGCCACTTTTGGACCCAGAAGGAGAACCTCTGTTTTGTGACTGTTTAGAAGGAGGAAGTTACGTAACATCCAGCCTCTTACGTCTTTTACACAGTCCTCTCTTTTCTTTAACCTGTATTTGTCATCAGGCTTGGCTGATATGTACAATTGCGTATCGTCTGCGTAACAGTGAAAGTTAATGCCATGGTTACTTATAACTGTGCCTAACAGTAACATGTATAATGTAAATAATAATGGTCCTAAAATAGAGCCTTGCGGAATTCCAACTCTTACTTTTGAATAATTGGAAGATGAATCATTTACCTTTACGAACTGATAACGTTCCGTTAAGTAAGATTTGAACCACGATAGGGCTGTCCCTGTGATTCCAACCATGTTTTCTAACCTTTCTAGGAGAATATTGTGGTCTATCGTATCGAAAGCTGCGCTGAGGTCAAGTAGTACCAACAGGGATACGTAGCCTTGATCAGAGGCAAGAAGAAGATCATTTGTTATCTTAACTAGAGCTGTCTCAGTGCTGTGATGTGGCCTGAATCCAGATTGGAATTTTTCATATATGTGGTTCTTATGTAGATATGAACGAAGTTGTTGGGCTACAGCTTTTTCTAAGATCTTAGATATAAATGGTAGGTTAGAAATAGGCCTGTAATTAGACAATACGCTAGCATCAAGGTTTGGTTTCTTGATCAGAGGCTTAATAACTGCTAGTTTAAAAGCTCTGGGTACATGGCCCAGGCTAAGGGACGAGTTTACTATAGTTAAAAGAGGATTAATGATAATTGGTAGTAGTACTTTGAGTAATTTTGAGGGGTGTGCAGGTTGTACAATTTGCAGAGGAGATAATCTTCTCTAGTTCTAACTGTGGGAGTGGGTAGAAAGTTTCCAGCCTTTCCTCTGCAACTAC